TCGTGCCGACCACTTGTCCCCTCTTGCTCCGGCTCACGTGGTGGGCTTGGTAGATCACGTTGGTCGCTCTCTGGGGCGCACAGAGGAGAAGGACACAAAACAGCGTCACTCTGGGCACGGACTGTTCTCCCCGTGGCTAACGGCTTTCAGGGCTGACAAAGGCGGAGGCGCTCGCTAGGGAATGGGGCTTTTGCGTGCGACCGGGCTCGGCCTGCCCAGAAACCCCGTCGAAAAACCAGCCCCTAACAGAAGAAGGAAAATCATTGCCTTTCCCCTACATCTTTTTACTATTTTTATTATTATTACTTTTTTGAGGGGCAAGGTCATCCCCCCATTGCAGATTTTGCTACTATATTCATTGCACGCCCTTCTCCCCCTCATTTTCAGCTACATCTTCCAAAATTAGCCTCTTTTTCCAATACCTGCAAGCGAGGGGAGTAGTTTTCCATTTGCAGTTGCTTGCGGGCACACTGGACACGTAGCCAATTTAAGGATGCTTTAATGTATGGGCAAGGATAGCCGTGTCCAAAAAAAACAGCCGTGTAAATCTTGCCTCCAAGACTGACTGTCAAACAAGACTCAACATCAGCCCCGCTGCTGTGAAACCACGACTCAAAACGCTCCAGGGCGGAGAGCTAATTCCTGGGGAGTTCCCACAACAGGGCCAATGCCCATCCTGGGGCTTGGGTCACCCTCTCGTGACTCGACAGGAGGCCCCGCATGGAATCGGGCTTTGCAGCTGCCCTCTCAGGTGACACCTTCACCCGCGCTGGGACTCCCAACTCCCGTTTTCCCTTTGCTTCCACACCGTTGTTTCCAAGGACAAAAAGCAACGACGTGGCTTTTCTTTATCCCTGGATGCTGCTATGATACTTTGGTAGCTCTGCTTCTTTTTCCCTTTCCTTTTCAGGCGGGTATTTTGCAACGTGCTCCCAACCCCTGTTTCTGCACGGAGAACCAGGATGCGCCTCTCTGCCCCTTCCCATGCCTTCTCCAGGCCCTGCTTCCTTGGGAGCCGCTTCCTAAAGCACAAATCTGCCGGGATCTACCCCGCTGTCGGCCACGGCGGCGTCTCTTCCTGAGCAGGCCCAGGAACGAGCGCATTCCTCGGAGGCGGACACAGCGGGGCCATTCTGCTGCAAGAACACGCTATATATCTGTATATTTATGGGGGTGTATTTTTACGTATCAGGCTCCTCTGGAGCTCAGGAAAACACTTCCCAATGCGGTTTTGAAATCCCGCCGCATGTCCCAGCCTCTCCTACCCGCAGGGATCTCCAGTGGGGTATTAACCCCCAGGGTTATTCCCGTGTCCTTAGCAATGTCCCTGTTAGAGACGGGAGGCTCCTCCTGCAGCTCCTCCAGCCCCTGTGCAGCCAGTGGGCGCTCACGGTCCCCGGTCCTGGGGTGGGACACATGGCAAACAGGAAAAGGCTTCAGTTTTAATCTTCTAACCATGAACGAGCCCGGGCCCCAAGACCTGGGAATGCTTTTCTCGGGGAAGGCTTCCCGGTGCCCGCAGCAACAGAGCGAGGAGCAAGGCAACCCAAGGAGCCACCTCGGCTCTCGTCACGTATCTGCTGGTGAAAGGGAGCAGTTGGGCTCGCCCCCCGAGCAGGGGGTTGCACGATCCAAGCGAGAGGATCCACCAGGATCCGGACGCTTCCCGGCCGCCCCGCAGTGCGCCCCACCGCATTGGCGTCTCTGGCTGTTGTATCCCGCACGTCCAGCACCGGTGGGTCCTGGAAGGAGCCCAAGGGGGAGAGCCACAACTCAGGGCCGACCGCGGGACAGTCTGTTCCGGACAGGAGCTCCCTCGTGGAAACGCCTTACAAACCTGCTGATAACGGTGCCCCCAAAGACACGTCCTTGTGGCGCAGAGCGCGTTAACGGGAAGCTCCAGCCTGTAGGAGCACAGTTAACGCCTGGCGGGCGGCTCCGGGGAACCTCCAGCCCTGCAGGAAGGGCAGGGCCAGGCCTCCTCCTGCGGCATTTTAGTTACAGGACTATCTCCATCCTTAGCAATGAGAGCATTAAGCCTCCGCCAGCTGCTCTAATTTTCCTTTTAAAATCACCTCCCAAACCCCGGCATTTTACTAAAAAGAGTCTTTTGCCCTGTAGGCTGAGCACAACGCATGAAAACTAAGTTTATGGGACTTTCTCGAAAAGTAAGTTTATTCCACTTGGGCAGGTGCCGTGGTGGGCCTTGAAAATGGGCAAATTGCCATCTGTGAGAAGGGCAAGCGGCCGTGTCCAGCACAGGCAACCAAGCCTTCTGCAGGACCCTCATCCAGCACGGGCTATTCCATACTCAAAAGAAAGGAGGAAGAGAGACCAGGGGTGGGCTTATTAGGGAAGGTCTTCTCTTTACATTTGTGTTGGAGCAGGACGGAGAAACCTCAGCGTCTCTGAAGCCTCAGCGACGTTCCCAAGCCCTAAGCTTGTACAAGGGTCACTTGTGACCAAGGGCGAGCTGGCCTGACCCTCGTTTCGAGCAGGAGCCGAAACGCTCTTTCTTTGGGTACGAGCAGCAGAGCTTCAGGTTCCCGGAATCAAGTCCAGCACAACCGTGGAGAGAAAAAAATAATTTAAAAAAAAGCCTCAAAGCCCAAAGCTCAACGTCTGAGTGTGTGTTCACGTAGCCTTGCAAACCAGACAGGCCCTGATTTCTGAAAATCAACAGATGACCTCAAAAAGATCTGGGCAATGATCAGTTTTCTCCCCCCAGAATTGCCCAAATGGAGCTTTTCTTTTCGCTTTGGAAAGATGATGTAAATCACCCCAGGCTCCTACTTTTTCCTGCTGGATTTGGAAAGCCGGGACAGATGTTATTTTAGAGAAAAAAAGAGCATCCTGTCCTCCTTCCAAAAGCCCCAGCGGACAGCTGCGCGCGCAGCACATACTTGACAAACAGAGCAGCTCCTCAGCCCGAGCAGCGCGGCAGGGCAGCCTGCCACGGCTGCTGCGTTTTTTCCCCTCGAAGCAGTTCCACGGAAGCGCCTCCCATAAAGGAGCCCGTCTGGGCCGCTCGGCGCACGCTCGCTTCCCGAGCGACAGGTCTGCACGTCCTGCCGGGAGACGCGCTCGGCTCTCCATGCGCGGGGCTGCGGTGGGCTGTGCCAACAGGCTCCCGACGGGACTGCCCACAGCGCCAGAACCAACATTCCTGGTTTCTGCAAGACAAACGGACGTCGTGTCCCCACCGACGCGTCGGAGAGGATTTGGACTGGGCATCCCTAAGAAAAGCCATCGCGTGCATCTACTTAACACCGAGGAAGGAGCAACAAGAGGGGTCTCGCACCTGGCAGCTTCCCCTGCCTCCTCTGGAAGAGGAAGGTGCTTATGGAAAGAGCAAAGCAGGGACCAAGCCCCCACTTCCACGGAAAGCAGGTCGAGGGATGGATTTTGCTTACACTAGTGGTATCTAAAAATTTCCAGGGAGGAATTTACTGGCGTGAAATCTTTTTTTTTTCCCCTCTCTCTTTTCCTTGAATATAAGGTTTAGGAATTTGACTAATGGGCTGTGGCTTTGTTGAGGTAAACAAACCTTAGCAGACATCCCAACTTTTATCACGGCTATGCTGGCACCACATCCCTTAGAACAAGCACGAGGCACAAAGAGACCTCAGCGGGACCCCCGCGAATATCACCTGAAGAATAATCTGCTGTACAGCGACAGGAGATCAAAAAGGGAGCTGGTTTGTGTTCATTATAAGGCAAAAAAGATTTCAGAAAAGATAAAACAATGCTGTTTGCTGTGCTCACTTCTAAGCTTTAACTTCAGCTTCACTGCAGGCAGCTGCAGGACGAATCTGTCCCACAGTTGGAGAAAATCTGAATTTCACACTGAAAACTTGGTAATTCAGTTCATGTCCTCACAGTTCACCCACCCAATCCTCTCGTGGCATAGGGCCCGCGTGTGACATCGAGAGGACCAGGTCTGATCACTGGGCAACGGCACCAAAACTCCTGCTCACCTGCAGGGCGGAGGAGCAAAACGCCACGAGCCAACACGCAGGAGCGATGCGACGTTCCACCCAAACTGTTTACTTTAAGAGCTCAAGAAATCGTTTCAATAAGCATAAGAAAAGACAAACCATAGCAAAACGGGCTTTGGACTGCGACTGTCCATCTTTAAAAGCGGAATCAGTGCGCCCGCAGCGCTGCCGACACGGGAGACAGCGAGACCCGTTGGGCAGCTGCGCGTCCCCACTCGCCTCTCTGAACCTGTAACGCGGTTTGAAACCTGGAGGGCAGCGTCTCGCCGTGCGCAAGAGCACGCCGGGCGAGCAGCCCTCCGTCTAGGGGAGCAAACGGGCCTTTCTCCTCTCCTCGGACAATGCAGGCGGAACTGAGCCTGTCTCAGCCACCACGTGGGTGGATGAAGCTCTTGTGTCTCGCTCCAGACAGCGGCCGCTTCGCTGCTCTCCTCAAAAGCAGGGAGTTTGTCTTCAAAAACCCACGCGCAGCTTCACAAGCAGGTCAAAGCGACTCCAATTCCTACGGGGACGGGGGGCCTGTTGTTAGCAGGCCCATCGTATCCCACCTGGAAAGAAATTTCCGAGCTTTTTTTGAGGGGTGGTAGCAATTTCAGAAGCAGCAGGAGCTACGCCTTCAAGAAGCTCCAGCAAGGTTTCAAGTAAGTGTTTCACTACAGGATCTAATCCTCTTGCTTCACCTCTTTCTACAGGACAATGCGGGCAGCTGGCTAAAAAAAATAAACCTTGACAATGTCACGACCCAACCCCTGCTGTCACCGACGCAGATACAACGCTCCTGCCTAAGCTTGGCCACCACCCATGTCCCAGCCCCGATGCATGGATTGAACCTAAAAACATTCGATTTCCAGTCTCTTCCACAACAAAACTTCTGCTCCCAGACACAAACGGGAGCACTCGGTGCTGCCATCACCCCACAGCTTCTCCCACCCGCTCGGCTTGAGAAAGTCATTGGATTGAACTCCTGGGAGCTAAGGCCAACGTGGACCGGTAAGAACAAGGTCACGGCCCCGGGAGCCCAAACGGCCCAAACGCTGAGCTCCAAGCAGAGGACTCACAAGTTCGGGGACACCGGGACGGCAGGTTGCTCCCCAAAGCAGCCGTGCTCCCACTTGAGAAGCTGCAGTACAGGTTTTTACCTGGGAGAATCCCGGAGGTTGCTGGGTCCTTGCCCAAGCCAACACGGAGAATGACAGATTCACTCACTCCTCCCTAAGCCGAATGGCACCACAGGCCTTATTTATTGTACATGGCTCAAAGGCTGGTCCAAGGACAGTTACGCGTTTTTCCTTGGTGTTTACTATTCCCAGGATCTCTCCAACGGGGGAATCACCTCTTCTCCAGCTGCAGTGGAGAAGAAGGGCGGAAGGAGAAGGCGGGTAGACGAGGGCTTGAGCTGCCACCATATTGAGGAAAAATCAATGCCTCCAAAGAGCCGCTTCCCTTGTTGTCAACCTCCGACAACCTTGACCTCAGCAATGACGTGCAATGGAGCCCACGACAACGACGGGCAGCAACTCTGATGTGCAGCTGCTGCTTCTGCTTCCCAGAGCCCCTGGCCTCCAAAACAACTGAGAGTCCTACCAAAACGCCTGAAAAACGGGTCATTTCCCCCCCATTCCGCCCCAAATCCACCTTTTTGCAACACAACAAAAAAGGCTTGCTATCAAAAAAAAACCCAACAGTTTGCTCTGCCAGAGCTTTATTTGCTTCCATGAGGCTTATTTGCTTGCAGGAAGATGTCTCCGGGTCAGAAAGCCTTGAAAAAAAACGCAGGTACCAACGGTCTTTTGCCCAAGATGCACAATCTGGCCCACAGATGGCAAAGAAGAAACCCACCCCGAGCCAGCTCCAAAGCTCTGCATCTCAAAACACATCTGTATCTCAAAATATAAGCCACGATGGAAAAAAAAAAAAGAAAGAACAAAAAGAGGTTAAGCAAACCAGCATCGTTTGCAAGCTCCAATCAGGCAAAATTCGCACTCCTGGTTTGGACACGAGGAGTTATCACTGAGCCAAGCTATGAGTAAACAAACAAGAACTGCTCTACTAGGAAACATTAGGAAAAATTAATTAAGAACAAATCTTAATTTTCCAGCATCCCATGCAGTGACACATATCGCCACTGAATGCGTTGGAATGCCTTTTTTCCTTTTACATTCCTCTTTTTGTTAATGCTCCAGGTAGATTATGAATTAGAAATTATTAAACTCTAAGGTCACTAAGGAACTATTTCTCACTTCCTACAGCTGTGATTCAGAGCTAAAAATCTAAAGATAATCGTCGTTCATGACACTCATGATAATAGTGAACTAATAAATAATTACCTGGATTACACCCCATTCTCTTAATGGACTTTTAAGATAGAGACCTATGACCAAAGTACAAGTCCAAGGCGAAGCCTATCATTAGAGGCATTAACACGGGCCCTAAATGCCACTTATCTCTTGTGGGTATGTACAGCGACAAGCCTATCAAAAAGCATCTGATTTCGCAGAGGAAAAGCCTTTCCATTTTCAAAGGTTTATTTAAAGAAACCTCCCAAGATCAACACTGGTCCAGCAGAAAGCACAAGCTTGCCAGTGCTTCTGTTTCTCTTTAACGAGAACCTTAGGAAATACGAAATCCCTGTGGCCTAAATCTGAATTACTGCACACGTCTCGGTAGCTTGGGCTCTTCTGCGACCCGTCACCGTCTCGTCTGAAACCAACAGTGTCTGACTGTAGACTTTAAAACCAGGGGTT